GACTGGAGTTAAAAATGTAAGAGCTCGGGATACCTGGGTGGCTCAGCGGTTGAGCACCTGCCTTCGGCTCAGGGAGTGATCCTAGAGTCCCAAGATGGAGTCCTGAGTTCCGCATTGGGCTCCCTGCAGGGAGCCTGCTTCTCCCTCTGCCTGTGTCTCTGCCTCTCTCTTTCTGTGTCTCTCATGAATAAACAAATAAAATATTTAAGAAAAAAAAATGTGAGAGCTGTCAGCATCTGAGTGCGGTACTTGAAACCATGAGATGCAATGAGCTCCCCAAAAGGGTGAGGGTAGACAGAGGGACCCTCCAACACAAAAGTTCATGTATAAGAGGAAGAATGGAGACGGAACAGTCAACGAGGCCAGAAGTGTGCAGCACATTGGTGTCCTAGAAGCCATATGACTGCAGTGCCTCCTGGAGGAGGGATCAACTATGGCCATAGTGCTTAGGGCTGACCATGGGGTACTGCTATGTGTAGTATTGTGGGCATTGTGTGTCATTTATACATCAATTAAAAATAAAAACATGAGCTCCTGGGTGGCCAGTGGTTTTGTGAGGGACAAATTTATTTTTAAAGATTTTATTTATTTATTTGAAAGAGAGAGAGCATGAACAGGGGGAGAGAGAAGGAGCAGCAGACTCCCAGCTGAGCAAGAAGCCCGATGCAGGGCGTGATCCCAGGACTCTGGGACCATGACCTGAGCTGAAGGCAGATGCTTAACTGACAGAAGTACCCCAGTGCCCCTATTTTATTTTTAATTGAAGTATAAATGACACACAATGCTCACAATACTACATTAATTTGAGGTGTATGACATGGTGATTTGACAAGTCTATGTTATTCTGTGCTCACTACTACACAAACACTATTACAATATTCCCTGTGCTGTTTCATCCCTGTGACTTATAATTATTCCATTGGGGGGGCAAATTATTTTATGCTATCATATATAATGACTTCTTTTTATTGTGGTAAAATATAAAGTATATAAAACTTACCACTTTGGCCACTTTTAAGTATACAATTCAGTGGCATTAAGTACATTCACAATGTTGGGCAACCAACACCACTATCCATTGTTGGAATTTTCTCATCATCCCAAACAGAGATTCTGTACTCATGAAACAAAGCCTCTCCCCACTCCCTCCTTCTCAGCCCCTGGTAACCTCTAATCAATCTACTTTCTGTGGCTATGAATTTGACAGCTCTGAATATAAGTGGAATCATATAGTATTTCTCCTTTTATCCTGGCTCATTTCTTGTAATGTGTCAGAATTTCCTTCTTTTTAAGGTTAAACAATATGGGGTGCCTGGGTGGCTCAGTGGTTGAGTGTCTGCCTTTGGCTCAGGTGGTGATCCCAGGGTCCTGGGATTGAGTCCCACACTGGGCTCTCCAAAGGGAGCCTGCTTCTCCCTCTGCCTATGTCTCTGCCTCTCTGTGTCTCTCATGAATAAATTTTTTTTAAAAGGTTAAGCAATTCTTCTTCAGACCACATTTTGTTTATTCATTCATTTGTCAATGGACATTTGGGCTACTTCTACTTTTTGGCTACTGTGAATCATGCTGCTATGAACAAAGGTCTGTGAGTATCTCTTTGAGACTCAACTTTCAATTCTTTTAGTAGATAGCTAATATCTACCCAGGAGGCAAACCACTGGATCACATGGTAATTTTATTTTTCATTTTTTTGAGGAAACTCCATACTATTTTCTATCGTGGCTGTGCCACTCCAGTGGCACACAAGAGTTTCACTTTCTCCACACCCTCATCAACGCTCATTATGTTCTGTTGGTTTTATATATATAAGGCATTTTAATGAGTGTGAAGTGATATCTTACAGTGTTTTTTTATTGTATTTATTTATTTGAGAGAGAGAGAGAGAGAGAGAGAGCGAGAGAACACATGAGTGGGAGGAAAGGGAGAAGCAGACTCCTCACTGAGCAGGGAGCCCAACTTGGGGCTTGATCCCAAGACCCTGCCCTGGGATTGTGACTTGAGCCAAAGACAAATGCTTAACTGACTGAGCCACCCAGGCGCCCCACTGTAGGTTTTGGTATACATTTCACTAATGACCAGTGATGTGAAACATTTTCTCATGAGCTTGTTGGCCATTTGTAGATCTTCACTGGAGAAATGTCTATTCGGGTCCTTTGTACATTTCAAAAATTGGGTTATTTTGTTATTGACTTTTAGGACTTTTTTCTATATTCTAGATATTAACACTTTGTCGGGTATGTGAGTTGCAAATATTTTCTCCCATGTCATGGATTGCCTCTTTACTCTGTATCTTTTGATGGGCAGATCAAATATTTCTACAGTTCTAGTAGCAGCCTCTCCAGAATTCTGTAAACTCTATTTCAAAGATTCCTCAAATGACATGAACAAACAAGCTTTGGATTGTCACGTTTAGATTTGGAGAATTGAGACCTTGCAAGCAGAAACGGCCAGTTGCCCAGAGAATGCCTGATATTCGGGTTGTTTCTTTTGGCTTCTGAAGTAGGAATGATTCTCATATAACTTATGAAGAAACTGAGGCCCATGGGGATTGTGACAACTACAGAGATGCCAAGACTCTTGGGAGGTGAATCATAGTTCATAACACTTGTTTTCCCAAGTGTGAACTGGCAGTGAATCTTGGTGGGAAATGAAGCCCAGTGAGCCACGTCACGTTGAGTTTTGGAGGCAGAGAAGATTTGGAGACAACTCTTGGGCCAGGGCTCTTACAGGCCTCCACAATGGTGTGGGCTTGCCTAGGTCCCAAAGGGCTTTCACAGAATCTTCTTTAAACCTCACTGAAACCTTTACGTAGATATATTCTTATCCATAGTCTACTATGTTATGTTATCTGCAGTCACTGGACTTGGAACTGAAAGCTTTGCTCTCAGATCTCAGCCCTGCCATTGAATGGCTTGAGCCACCAGACCAGGCACTTTGCATGGCTTGTAATCTTGCTTTGTAAAAGGTGGATAAAAATTGCAAGCTCAAAGCTTATGAAAGTCCCTCTCTAGTTCAAAGCCTGGTACATAATAAACATTCATTTTTTAAAGATTTTTAAAAAAATTTTTGCATGTGTATGCATGAGAGAGAGAAAGAGAGAGAGAGAGAATAAACAGAGGAGAAGACTCCTTGCTGAACAGGAAGCCCGATATGGGATCTTGGTAGGACCCTGAGATCTTGACCTGAGCTGAGGGCAGATGCTTAACCGACTGAGCCACCCAGGCGCCCCATAATAAACATTCAATAAGTGTGGCTGGGATCTGAGGAGGATGTGAGACCCACAGAGGAAAAAATCACTCACAATGGCTCTAGCATTCAAGAAGAACTTGTGAGCAAACAACGTGCCTGGTGCACATTTTCATAGCAACTGCATTTTCCCATTTTTAAGATACAGAAACAGATTCAGAGAGGTTAAGCTATTTAACCAAGCTCACACTGTTATGAATCTCAGATTTGAACACAGTCATTTCCAAGGACCCACTCTCTACCCCCAACTTTTTACTAAAAACACGCAGAAAAGTTGAGAGTAACTCAGTACAAACCTACACACTGTTAACACAGGGCCTCTTTAGCATGCTTTCTTTAAATGTATACATAGCTGGATCTACTTAAAGATACAAACATCAATATCCTTTAACCGTGATATGAACTGAATGTTTATATCCCCCCAAATTCATATGTTGAAGCCCTTAAGCCTCCAGAGTGATGGTATGTGGAGATTCATCTTTGTAAGGTTATTAGGGTCAGATGAGATCACAATGGGATCAGTGCCCTTATAGGAACAGACACCAGAGAGCTCCCCCTCTCTCTTTCCCTGTGCACACACCGAGTAAACTCCATGTCAGGACAAAGGGAGAAGGTGACCGTCTGCTATCCAGGAATAGGGCTGTCACTGGAACCCAACTATACGGCACCCTGATCTCAGACTTCCAGCCTCCAGAGCAGTGAGAAAACGAAATTCTGTTGTTTAAGCCAGCCAGCAAGTGGTACCTTGTTATGCCAAACCAGACTAAGAAAACCCCTAAATGCCACCGGGTACATCTGCTGACGATAAAAGACATTCTCCCACATAACCACACCCAAGAAAATTAGCAATGATGCCATAATATCTATTATCCTATCCAGAATCAAATTTTCCTCAATTGTCTCAATAATGTCTTTTTATAAAGCCGCTTTTAAAACATTAACTAGGGATCCCTGGGTGGCGCAGCGGTTTAGCGCCTGCCTTTGGCCCAGGGCGCGATCCTGGAGACCCGGGATCGAATCCCACCGGGATCGAATCCCACGTCGGGCTCCCGGTGCATGGAGCCTGCTTCTCCCTCTGCCTTGTGTCTCTGCCTCTCTCTCTCTCTGTGACTATCATAAATAAATAAAAATTAAAAAAAAAAGATTAAAACATTAACTAGATTCTAGGCAAAGTCCACACATTATATTTAATATCTTTTTGTCTAGCACAGTCCCACTGCCTCGCCTCCCAACAGCACCTTCCCATCAAGGCCACTCGTCTTATAAAATGTACCACTTTCTAGATTTGTCTGACGTCTCCTCGTGTCTAAACTCAGATACAGTATGTTTTTGGCAAGATTTCCAGTAGGAGATGCTGTGTACTTCATAATGCATCATATAGGGAGGCATCTGATGACAGGTGGTAAGGCCGAGTTGGAACACTCCGTTACTGTGCTGACGGGGATCCTCTTTCAACCTCTACACAAAATAAGAGCCACGGGGCTTTCAACTCAGCGCTTCTTGACACCAGCAGAGTCAGCTGCGCTTGAAACCTCAAGTTCAGGGGTCATCGCCCCAGATCCCCAGATCCCCTCTCGGTCTCCCACGCTGGGTTCCTGCCCAGCTCAGCCCCGCCCCGCCCCGGCCCTGAGCCGGGGGAGCGGGGGGGGGGGGGGGGGGGAGGCAGCCCGTCCGCCCAGCGGGCGGAACCAATAGTGCCTGGCACTGCGCTCGACGTCGCCCGTCCGGACTGTGAACCCGGAGCGCCGGGCGCACGAGGACGCTGTTCTCCGTGGGCTTCCGGGCGCACGCAGCTCCGCCGCCGCCGAGAAGGCGGAATTCCCGGTGTCGCTGCTGCGTCTGTCCGTGCGCCGGGCTCCGCCGCCACCATGGGGATCCTGGAGAAGATCTCCGAGATCGAGAAGGAGATCGCTAGGACGCAGAAGAACAAGGGTGAGGGCCGGCCTGGCGGGGCCTTCCTTTCTGCTCGCCTCAGTTTTCCTGTCTGTACAATGGGGGAACATCTCCAGCGCTAGAGCTGAAGCGGGCTCGAAGGCAGCAGAGAAGTGCCGGAGACGTGACCAGGTCTCCCAGCGCGCCCGAGGCAGGCAGGACCGGGCGGGGTCCGGGCCCCCGCGCGCTGGCCTGATTGCAGACGATCAATCGCTGTGAGATTGGCTCGGTGCCAGACCAGGTGGCCGAGTAGAGAAATCACAGCACGCAGCCAGCATCTGAGCCAGAGGGAGGCATGGTCGGGCTTCAAACCCGGGTCTCCTGGCGGCCGGGCCCGGGGAGTTGGTGCTGGCCCCTTTTGTGCTGGAAAGCCCAGGAGGAGACCTTTCAGGGGTACAGCCTCTCACCCAGCATCTCGGGAACCGAGGCCAGCAAGACTCGAGCCTGGCGGACCTGGGTTTGAACTCCCGCGCCACCTGTACCTGCTGTGAAAGCTTGGAGAATCACTTCGCCTCTTTGAGCCTCAGTGTCCTCATCTGCAAATGGGGACAATAATCCCTGTCTCAGCTCACAGCTAAATTAAACTAGATAGTGTGTGCAAAGTACTTAGGCACATGGAAAGCACTCTGTATTTAAAGTACCCCTCCCCCCAACAGAGCACATAATAAAGGATCAAATCTGGACTTCAGATTGTAAGAGCTGGGGATGCTCACTGGAGAAGAGCAGTGGGGTGAAACAAATGACACCCAAGAAGGCTTTCAGGAGGAGGTGGGACTTGAAACTGGTTAAAGGGAGGGTGCTCCCTATGAGGGCACGGCTGAGGCAAAAACATGGCAGTCTGGGTGAGCATGGTGTGTTCATGGGACAGTTCTAGATCTAGAACAATCTAGATCAGAGCGAGGGTCTGGAGTCACAGGGGATGCGATTGGCCAGAGTGAGTGAGGCCTGGTGCCTAACCAGTCCTGCACTGGGGTTGCAGAGGCAGGAAGCGGGAAATACCAGGTAGCTAGTCTCAGTGTCTATCCCTCCCTGGCCCTGTTTAGTTCTGGAGGCTGAGAAGTTGGAGGACTTCATTCATTATGTAAATCTTCCCTAAGCCCTTACTAAGTCTGGGTGTGAGTACAGCAGGCACATCCTTGGCCTCATGGAGCTGACTTGCCAGTGGATAGTCTGTAAACTCATAACCAGATAAACAAGATTGTTTCAGCCAGCAATAAATGCTGTGAAGACAAACCAGGATGATACAGCAAGGGTGTGAGGGGTGGGAGCTTGGCCTACTGAGGCAGAATGATCAGAGAAGACCTCCATTAGGTGGGGACATTTGAGCTGAGACCAGAATGAGAAGGAACCAGCCAGGCAACAATCTGTGGCAAAACTGTTGGCAGAGGAATGAAGCTTCACCAAGGCAGGAACAAACCTGCTTATTCAGGGATCTGAAGGTCTGGGGCCAGAGTGCAATGATGGGAAAGGAGAGGGCCAATCATGTAGGGCCTTGTAGGTCATGGGAAAGAATCCAAGTTGTGTTCTGAGGCAGTGGGAGCTTGTGGAGGGGTTTAAGCAGGGGAGAGACATAGTCTGATTTCTGTTTTAAAAGTTCCAGGAACAGGGGCACCTGGGTGGCTCAGTGGTTGAGTGTCTGCCTTTGGCTCAGGTTGTGATCCTGGGGTCCTGGGATCAAGCCTTGTATCAGGCTTCTTGTGGGGAGCCTGCTTTTCCCTCTGCCTATGTCTCTGTATGTCTCTCATGAATAGATAAATAAAATTTAAAAGAAAGTTCAAGGAAACAAGGAAAGTAGCAGGCAGGCTAAAGATGCTGCCACTTTGGCAGTGGTAGAAGAGGGGACGTAAAGGTGATTTCAGGATTAAGACCTAGTCGTTCCCTCCAGAGGTGCTCGGATTCTTATAAGTTGGGATGACAGAAAGGACCAGACGAACCCATTCTTGACCACTTCTTGAGCACATCTTGCTGCCATCAATTCACTTCTTCAACTTGCTGGACATTTCTACCTGCCCAGTGCCACGGAAGCTGGGATCCTGCCCTATTTGAGTTTGGGAAGAGACAAAATAGTTCCAAGTAGTGATAAGAGCCATGAAGACAATAAACAGGATCATGAAGCCAAGAGGGGCCCAAGGAAGGGTGGGGGTTACTGTAGAGCATAATAACAACCGGCTGTTACTGGGTGCTTACTGTGTGCCAGTCATTGTTCTTCATGCTTTCTGTAAGCCCTATGAAAATGCAGTGGAGTGGTTTCTCCCGCTAACATCACTGCTTTGCAGAATAAGAAATTAATACACAAGAAGATGAAATAACTTTTACAAAGTTACGTGGCCGGTAATGGCAAGGTGGGGTCCAGCACGGGTTCTTCACTTCTGTGTGACATTGCCCACTGCCCCCTCCGGCTGGGTAGGGAGGCCTCTTTGAAGAGACGACATTTGAACTACATGTTGGGAAGGAGCCAGCTCTTGGAAGATAAGGTGGAAGTGGAAGGAATAGCAAAGGCAAAGGTCCTGTGGCATGAATGGTGTCAGCATGCCCTGAAGAAACAAAAAGAAAGCATCTGTGACTGGGAGGGAGATGTTGAAGAAGTAGCGAGGGTTACTTAGGGTGACTTAGGGTTACCTAGCCACAGCCGCTTATGTAGGAAAGATTTGTGCAACACCTCCTTTACTGTCATGAAATGCAGCTCCCCCTCAATAGTGTAACTTTTGTACACATAGAATTTGAGAAAAATCAATACAATGCCCTAATCATAATACAAAGGAGGAGAAAAAGGAAAGTGATTTGTAATTAAAATAGCATTTATTTCAGTATTCATGTGTTGGGGCACAGCCAGGATGCAGTGATGTTATAATGAAGCAGTGAGATGTTTGCACCTCTGGCCAGAATCCCTGGGTATGTGGCAGCCACGATGCAGCTCAGTGCACCATGTGTTGTGTTGGGGACTCAGGTACCCTATAAGATGCCCCACTGTTGGCAGATCCCAAGATGGTGGGCTCTTCTAGATAAAAGTTTCAAACAAAACATGCTAGAGTCTTTCCTTGACGTACACAGTAGTTGTATTCCTGGAAATTTCAATGTTCCTTCACACTGTAAAAAAAAAAAAAGGTCCTGTGCTTTTATGTGAAATGGAATTAGGCTCTAGGCCCCAGTGATCTAACCCAGGTTTTCCCTCTGCAGGTGTCTCAGGGCTGTGAAAAGTCCTATGGAATATGGGACGATTCATGGCTGTGCCACACTGACTCACACTTTGTAAGGCTGCGGGCTTCCCTGGCTCCTGCCTGATAAATGCCAATGGGGACTTCACCATCACCTGGACAACAGAATACACCCCTAGACTCTCCCAGGATCTGGTGTTGCCCCTCTTTGAGAACCACTGACTTGGGGTCATGTCTCAAGGAGACTAGCTTTTATTCTAAATGAACTGAGAGGCTAAGGGGACATTCAAAGCAGAGGGGCGTTCTCTTTCCTGATCTGGTTCTGGTGTCCCCAGCCAACATTTGGTTGTATAAGGGGGTGCACCTGACCCTTGGGGCTTGCTACCCTGGATACTTACCTTCCTTCTTGCTTTATGTCCTTTAGCCACTGAGTATCATCTGGGCCTCCTGAAAGCAAAACTCGCCAAGTATCGGGCGCAGCTTCTAGAACCATCCAAATCAGCCTCATCCAAAGGAGAGGGTTTCGATGTCATGAAGTCGGGTGACGCCCGTGTGGCACTGATTGGATTTCCCTCTGTGGGTAAGGTCAGTGATGGTCAGCATGGACCTCGGGGAGGAAGCAGGTTGTCTTCCAAACATGATTGTCAGATAGAAACCGGGACTTGTGGCCAGGTTCCACAGAGGAGATGCAGTGGACCTCATTTTGTACCATGCCTGAAAAAGCCCTGACTGCTGGTTGCATTTCCAAAGCCCCTGGGTTAAAGGGGGGATACCCTGTCTCCTTCTGCATGGTTACGTTAGCCACTCCCCCCCCACCCCCGCCAACTGGAACGTCCCCTGCAAGGTGTTACTACAGTGGTGTGTGGAAGTCAGGCCCTGTCAGCATCTTCTTAGTGATCTTGACACCAGTGACTGGTCCTTGCCTGGGAGTTTTGTTAGCGATTGTAACACGTCAATTTTCTAGTTCTCTTCTTCCGTTCTCACTAATTAGTTGATGTTCCTCTGGGGAGTAGCACTTCTCTCATCAGTGTGGGCCCTTTGGTTAGCCTGAAAAAGTTCCCAGAAAGGCAGGACAAATGCTTATGTGTTGCCCTTAAATGACCGGAAAGATGTTGGAATCAGAGCTGTCCCGCAGGGTGACAGGTGAGTGTTTTTAGGCTTTAATTCTTCGAGCATTGGTATGGACTCAATCAGTTTCCGCCTTTTCTTGATTTTACTTCCAGCCTGCCAAGGACTTCTTTTCCAAGCCCAGGCTGGGAGACACACTTTGTTTACCAAGACACAGGTCTCCTCCCTACAGAGGCCAGACAGGATCGGGCTGTCATCCTGTGGGCCTCTGGCAATGGTCATTCAGTGTCTCGGCAGCCGTTGCCCTCTGGGCCACGCCACCTACCCATACTTGTCTACCCTACTGGGTTTTGATCTTTGCCTGAAGTTTCTAAGAGGCCCCTAGGGCAGAGAGTTTCTGGTTTTGAGGCCAGTGTTTCTTTCATATCCTGAGGGTATGTAAGTGAGATGTACCCCCAGCCTTCCTGGTTGCCAGAGAGATAGGGTCCAGGTGGCCCTGTCAAAACTGCATCCCAGGCTTTTTGTTCCTGGTGCTCTGCTGATGAGGATGGGGGCAGGGGGCTGGGTTACTTCCCCTTCTGGCTCTGCCCATTGCTTTGCTGGCCTTCGGGGCCACTACATCCGTTGCTAGGGTCTCGCATGCTCTGGTTTGGCACACCATGTGCCTTATCACCTCCTTTAACCCCACGTAGCCCCACATGGTGGGGACCGAGCAGATGGCCAGCATGCACTTGAAGGACTCAGAAACTCAGAGGAAGAAGTTTCTTGCCCAGGGAAGCCAGGTCTCTCTAACTCTCAGCCAAGGCACGGCTCTGGTCCCACAGTGAACTGTGGCCTGAGTGTTCCCATCCTTCCCAGATCCTTCAGATCCTTCCCAGCTTACCCCTTCCTGCCTTGCAACACCTTGTCCTGCCATCTGGCTCTGTCTCAGACCACATCTGTCTCCTTGCACATTTCACCCCTCCCTGGGTGAGCAGCCACTTTGGGTGCCATGGGCTGTTGCCTGCTGGAAGTTCTCTGGGGTCCAGGCGGGGCTGGAGGGTTTGGTAGAGCTAGGGAGGGGGCCCTGATTTAGAAACCAGTACCCTGCATGCCCCCTGAGACAGGCCTTGAGGCCTCTCAGGAACAGAGTGGCCCTCTGGTACCCTGTTGCCCTGGGCAGGGCCAGAGGTGACATTTCCAGCTCCTGTTTTCTTTATAACTACCCCAGGTCCCCATGCTGAGGCTGAGGAGGGAGTCTCTGTGCAGCCTACATCCAGCAGGCTCCTGGCCCATGGGGATTCTCCTGGGAGGCTGGAATAAGACTCCTCACTGCAATGACCTCCTTTCTCTCCTAGTCCACCTTCTTGAGTCTAATGACCTCCACAGCCAGCGAAGCCGCGTCCTATGAATTCACAACCCTGACGTGTATCCCTGGGGTCATTGAAGTAAGTTGGGGTGTGTTGGATTCCAGAAGGGAAAGGGTATGTGTTTGGGTTTGCAGTTGTGAGTATGGACATCATGTGCGGGTGTCCCCATGGAGGGGGAAGGCTCTGAACTGAGCTGCTTTGCCCTTAAGCACTGGTCCTTCTGAGGATTCTGGCTGCCGAGACCCCAGAGATGCCCAGCTGGTCCTGGAATCCTGATTGGTTCTGGGAATTGGGCCAGCCCATGGCAGCTCTCCCTTGGACCCCTTTGTGTTCCACCGTCCCACACCATCCTAGCTTGGGTCGCTTGTTGCTGTTTGGCTGGATCCCTCCATCTTCTGTGAAGCTTCAGAGACTGGGGTAGCTGGGGTTCCATGGCCCGGAGCCTCCCTGATGAAGAGAGTTTTTTGTGAAGTACTGTTACCAGTGACCAGTGTTGTAGGATCATAAAGATTCAAGAGCCCTTCCCTGGTGGCTCCTCAGCTCTCAGGATATGGTCTTTGCCAGGCTGAAATGGTGACCTGGCCCCAGAGACCAGGCCCTGGGTTTTCCACAACCCCTGAAGTGCAGGCTGTTGTAGGTGTCTTGGGGTGAGGCAGACCCTTCCTACAGTGATTCCTCCTTACCTGACCTTCTCTTCCACATCCTAGTATAAAGGAGCCAATATCCAGCTCCTGGACCTTCCTGGGATCATTGAAGGTGCAGCACAAGGTAGGATATGGGGACAGGCGTGTGGGATTCCGAGTGGATCTCGGCACCCCAGCTCGCCGTCTTCTAGAGGATGGTTGGGTGTGTTGTGAAAATCAGACATGGCTGGGGGCTTGATGGGGTAGGGGGAGGCTCACGCCTCTCCTACTGCTCTGTGCTGTGGACTTCAGGGCCTCTGACCTCATATGGTCCTGGCTGGTCCCATCTTAAAGCCGAGGAAACTGAGGCCCAGTTTGCTAAAGTGATTTGCCCAAGGTCACATAGCTCACCTGACAGGTTTGAATTCCCTCTTCTACTCCATGGTCTCCCCCACACCCCTGAAGGGTCCCCTGCAAGGAATGGACACTTATCAGCTGGCTAGCTCAGACCATGGTCCTGGTCCAGGAGCCCTGGCCTTTGTCATTTTGTTTTTGTTTTTTGAGATGGGAACATGCCTATGGCATCTGGTGGCAGGTGGTGGCCTGCAGCCTCATAGAGATGGTAACCAGCTAATGGTTATCTGGCACTGGCCGAATGCCAGGCTGTGTGCTGCCCATTGTCTCAACCTCAGATAGCCCTGTTACTTAGCAAGTGTCAGCATCCTTTTCATAGCCGGGAGGAATGTTGGGGATGATAGGTAAAAGGTCTGCCCTAAACTACTGTTCACCCACTAAGTGGCAGAGCCAGGCTTGGCACCCATTTCTGTGGCTCTGTGGCTCCAGCTTGGCCGGGCATCAGGGCCTCCTCCCTGGGGGTCTAGTTGCCATTATCTCCTCTGCACCCTCCCTTACCCTCTGTCCTCATCAGGGTGAAGTCCTGCCTGCTTGGATTGGAGCAGGGGGAGTGGTGATGGTCCCCCAGGAACCTGCTGTCCCAGCTAGCATTGGGGAGCCTGGGGATGGTCTGGCCACTGTGGGGAAGTGTGCAGGTAGCATCATGAGGCAGCTGGCCCATGAGCATCACTGAGCCCAATGCTCTCATTCTCAGAAGAGGGAGGCAGGTCATGTTGACACCTATACTACTTAGGTTCTAGTGCTGTGACCTTGGCAGGGTGCCTGACTTCTCTGGTGGTCGAATAACCACAGAGTCTGATCTTTATGTGGCAGTTGCTAAAGTACCTCTTCCTTAGGGTGTCTTGTGTGATCTTTTCTATAGCCCTTGGAGTGGGGGTAGGTTATATCATCTGATTCTAGAAAGGGTACACATGTTGAAATCCTAATACCCCACTAGGTTTGTGATTTTTTTTTTTTTAAGATTTTATTTATTCATGAGAGACACAGAGAGAGAGAGGCAGAGACAGGCAGAGGGAGAAGCAGGCTCCATGCTGGAAGCCTGATGTGGGACTTGATCCTGGGACTCTGAGATCATGCCCTGAGCCAAAGGCAGATAGATGCTCAACCGCTGAGCCACCCAGGGATCCGTAGCTTTGTGATCTTGGGCAAGTGTTTATCTCTGAACTAGGTCTTGGTTTTCTCGTTTGTAAAATGGGCATGATTATGCTGCCTGTATAGGGTAGTTTTGAGGATTAAGTGAAAAAATGTTCATGAAGCACTTAGCATGAGGCCTGCCTCACAGTAGTAGCAGGGGGAGAATGTTACCTCTCATAAGGTGGTGATGTCAGATTACTTTCTATAACAAGTGTCCGTGAGTGAAACGGCACATGGATTACAGAGCAATGCCAAGGAGATCCCAGCTCAGGGGTGGCATATGGCAGAGACAATGGTGGCACCATAAAGGACAGGAGTCTGGGCCCCGTGGGCTGGTGGGGGTCACGTGGGGTGTTCCTCTGTCACTGTATGACCATGTCCCTTCCACTGGTCCAGGGAAAGGCCGTGGCCGGCAGGTGATTGCTGTGGCGCGCACGGCTGACGTCGTCATCATGATGCTGGATGCCACCAAGGGAGAAGTGCAGAGGTCCGCAGGGTGGTATAGGGGGCAGGCTAATACATCTGGGGAGGTCCCTGGGCGTGGTCATGGGACACTGCAGCTCCAGCTGCTCTGTCTCTGAACTCATGATGGGTGGTCCAGGGGGTGCTTGGGCCTCTCACATGTGGGAGCAGCGGCAGGCCTGTCCCCAGGCTAATCCCGTGCAGTCAGCCTGGAACATTTCTCTGAGAGGCTTACATATAGCGTGGAAATGTCTGGAGACCAAAGACTGTGGTGTGCCATGCCGGTAGAAGCCTATGCCACCAGCCCCTTGCTGGCACAGGCCATCCTGGCTCTGGCTCCTGCCCACAGAGGCTTAGGTGCCTCAGTTGCTGCCCAGAACCCACCAGGAGCCCAGCCCTAGGCAACAGAAGCCTTATTCATGCCCTGACCTGCTGGCTAAGGGCACACCAGGCCTCCCTCTGCATGCCAGTTTCAGACTCAGCCAAACTCCCCTTGGACTAGATAGAAGGTCCAGAGGTTCCACCTCAGCAGCTCAGTTGTTAGGTTGTTCTGGGTTCCTAATGGTGGGTAGGAAGGTGTTGGTCTCCCTTTGGGTGGGAGGGGCTTCCTATGTACCGTGGAAGCCGTTCAGCCGGCTCCTGGGTGCCTGTGAAGGCTCATGGGGACTCTACCCAGGTCTCTGCTGGAGAAGGAACTGGAATCTGTAGGCATCCGCCTGAACAAACACAAGCCCAACATCTACTTCAAGGTGAGGCCCTCTCACCTGCAGGCCAGGCCTGGGCAGCTTTGGGACGATTGCAGCTGCCCCTTTGTGAGCAGCTCCCCCTTCCTCTCTTCTCCTCCAGCCCAAGAAAGGTGGTGGCATCTCCTTTAACTCAACAGTCACACTGACCCAGTGCTCAGAAAAGCTGGTGCAGCTGATTTTGCACGAGTACAGTATCCTTTTCAAAAGCAGCAAGGGGGGGGGCAGTGTGAGAAGGCAGCCTTGGTGGCCCAGGATGCTAGCATACACACCCCAAGCCACCCTGCATCCACCCGAGCAGCTGCCAGGAAACCTGCAGCCCAGTGATACAGGGCACTTTCTGTCCCCCTTGCTTCCGTGCTTACCAAGCTGCAGGCTGGCTGGGCCACAGCTGTGTACTCAGCAGTGGCTTCCTGACTCCCTGCCAGGTTCTAGGCATCGGCAGCGAGTCACATCTAGAAGGGAGATGAGACTAGTGAGGGAAACAGCCCCTAAGGACAGGGTTCCTAGCCTGAGCAGGCGTCAGACCCCGGGGCCTGGCTGTTCACCGCTAAAGTAACGTTGGGGGCCAGGTGAGTCTCTGGAGGGCCTTAGAAGACAGGACAGGGCCCCAGAGGCAGAGGAGCTCAGCATATGAAGAATGCACCATGGGACAGGCTGTCTGTAAGGTGCTGAGCCCCCTGTCACCACAGCTGTGCAGGCAGAGGCAGGGTGGCCTCCAGAGGAGAGCTTTGCATGCGGGAAGGTGGGTTAGACCAGTGCTTGCAGGCAGTGCTCCTGGCACTGAAGCCTGGAGTTCCACTGAGATTTTGGGCAAGTACGCTTTTCTTCTTGCCCAACAGTGAAGATTGCACTGATTGAAACCTTATACAGTGTGGTTGCTTTTGAAAAAAAAAATGAGGGCGTTCCCCAAACTTTACCATCTTACAAAACCTCCAAAGCAGATGACCTCTGAGGTCCCTTATGGCACGGTTTCTTGGCTGGCCTTTCCGGTAGGGACATAGCCTCACAAGGGGCTGCTGGTGGACAGGTGGCCCTTAATCAGAGCCCCTCAGAGATCTTCAACGCGGAGGTGCTGTTCCGAGAAGACTGCTCCCCGGACGAATTCATCGATGTGATTGTAGGCAACCGGGTGTACATGCCCTGCTTATATGTAAGTGGCACCAGCCCCCAGGGTGTGTGTGTGGGAGGGGAGCTTGCCTGGGGCTTCCCAGAGGAGCAGAAAGAGCCTGGAGTTACCCCCTCCTCCCCTGGGGGCTGCGTGAGGCTTGCAGACCTGTTTAGCCTGACCCTGGGGTTTTAGCCCAGCCTTCCCTGCTGGGGTTGGACAGTGGCCTCAGGCCCCTGCAGCCTTTCCCCATCCTTGAGGCAACAAGGGGGGAGGGCCGAGGCACACAGGGAGGAACTGTGGCCGGCGCCGAGGCATCTGGGGACCTGTTTCCTGCACTTCTTTGTATCTTTCCTTCCCCAACTCCTACCTCCACCTTCTCAATCCCAGGTTTATAACAAAATCGACCAGATCTCAATGGAAGAAGTGGATCGCCTGGCCCGGAAGCCCAACAGCGTGGTCATCAGGTAAGGCTCCCAGCACCTGGCTGCCTTGCTGTCCTGTGTATGCAAGCTGGTCAGGCTTCCCGGCCACCTTGGCCAGGCAAACCCCCGCCTCCCATGCCTCACAGGGCAAAGGAGACGATCTCAGTAATGGCTTTGACCTGCTTCTGGGTCTGGATCAGCCCGGGAAGAGTGAGTGATGTGGGGTAGGCTCTGGTTAAGAAAAAAGAAGGTAAATAGTACCACCAAGGTAGATGGTTAATCGTTAAGAGGCTTTGAAGGCTAGTAGTTAACCTCAGAAACCCTAAGACTGAGCCAGCTGCTCCTGATCCTCTGGAAAGTGCAGCTGTGGGGCTTCCACCACAGCTGAGGGGCTTCTACTACAGCTGAAGTCCTTAGGGGGGTTGGGGCTGTCCAGGCCCTCCCCTGGCCTTTCTGGGGGCGGGGGGTCCTGGGAGTGCCACCTGTACAGCTGGCTGACTGCTGTTTGTTCACTCCTCACCAACCCTGCAGATTCCTCGCTTGGAGCAGCCTGACTTGCAGGCTTCGCTCTGCTGGCTGCCCAGCTCAGATAAGGCACTCTGTAGCCTCACAGTGAGGCTTGGCTTACGGGGAGCAGGGTGCTGAGTGACCAAGTGGGGATTACTGGTGCAAATGAAGGGTAAGAGTCCTGGACCATCTCCTGGGCACTGCCAGCTACCGCCAAGAGCAACAGAGAGCAGCCGTCCTTTCTGAAGGACTGCCTCAGTTTTCTCCTGCTGCTGCATCTCAGGCTCCCTGCAGGGGCTGCCAGAGGACAGGCTGGTCCTCAGGGCATGAGGTCACATCCACATCACACCTTCCCCTGCTGTGCTCACCACACATCAGTGGAGGTCAGAGGACCCACTCAAGGTCATGCCACTGCACACAATTAAGCGGGGGGCCGTCCCATCACCCTATGCCTGTCGGTTTCCTCTCAGCAGCTGTCAGGAGGGAAGGCCCCCTCCAGGCGCCCTGCCCTGGGCTCTCCACAGAGCTCAGCTGCCTCTCCTGGGGGTGATCATGTTGTGACTAAGAGCGCTGGCAGCTGAAGTGTCAAGCTGCCACAAGATCTGCGGGCTTGGTTCCCCACGGGTGCCAGCTGGGCCATGCTGGCCCCTGTGCCCAGGCCAGCCAGAGGGAGGTTGTCCTCTGTAAGAGTGAGAAAGCAAGGAGCCCTAGTCACTGAGCCCATGGCGGCTGCTCTGACTGGCCACCTTCCTCCCTGGCAGCTGCGGCATGAAGCTGAACCTGGACTACTTGCTTGAGATGCTTTGGGAGTACTTGGCCCTGACCTGCATCTACACTAAGAAGAGAGGACGTGAGTTAGGCGGCGTGTGGCCCAAGAAACAGGCTGAGTCACCCTCCCTAGAAGGCTGCCAGGCTCTGCGCATAGCACAGTGCCTCTGGCTCAGCTCATCCTGTACAGATCACAGCTTTTCTCCCATCTCAGAGCTGGCGCTGCCCTCTGCCCTGGGATGCTTGAGACCTGAGCTGAGCCTTTACAGTAAAGAATGTCACTTTCTGGGGCTGCTGGTCTTGAGGATGCCTCCGGTGGGGGGCAGAGGGGGAGGGCTGTGGGCTAGAGGCCATCCTGTGGTTCCCCCATGGGCTACAGTAATAATCCCCCTTCCAGCCTCCCTTAGCAGGAGCACGCTCCCTGGGTCAGAACTTGAGGGCTTGAGGCATGTGAATACAAAGGAACCTTCACCATGTCCCCGCCCACCGATGGCACACCTCACACAACCTGTGACCTTGTGACTGAGTTCTGGCAGTTTGCGTGGCCTTGACCTTGTCAGCAAGGGAGTTGCTGCAGGTGCCCCTGACTGGTTGCCAGCCGCTGTCATGTCTTACGAGTTCTGTCCACATGCTCCACGTGGCTGGACTTAGGGCTCTCGTGGCTGAAGGGGTTGCAGGCTGTCTGAATCCTGGACTTGGATTCATGTTGATTTTCCATGTTAAAGTCAAGGTTGCAGAACACTGCAGAAGGATCTGTAGTGAGGGTGTGCCAAATGGCGAGGGGAAGGTTAAGCCAAGGCTGAGGCCTGGAAGGGCCTCTGCCCCCTGATGGAAGGCAACCGCACAGCAGCTTGGGGTCACAGCTGTGGCTGCCTCCCTGCCCCCCACCCCCACCCCCATCTCTACTTTTGCAGAGAGGCCAGACTTCACAGATGCCATCATCCTCCGGAAGGGGGCCTCCGTGGAGCATGTGGTGAGTTGCTGACACTTGTGCGGACAGCAGGTCAGGGAGGTCTCCAAGCCCCCTGCAGGCTTTTGCTGAAGGTTCTCCCAGCCCTCAGCTGACCTGGGTGACACCTGCGGCCTTAGCAGAGTGGCTGCGGGTGGGCTTGGGAATTAGACCTGGGGTGGTATCCCAGCCACCCTTCCTACCTGCATTGCGAGCCTCCAGGCCTCCCTCAGGGGAAGCGATGATACTGCCTACTGCAGTGGTGGCTTGGGGGTAGCCTTGGATGAGGGCCAGCATGTAAAGCACCTGGCAGAGCCACAGCTGTTCGGGGACTCTGCCCCGGGGCATTTCTGTGTTACCTCTGAAGTGTGTTACCCCAGTGCTGGCCTACAGCTCAGAGTTGCCACCTCCATGCCCTTGGCCCCTACTGGCTTCCTGTCCCCCAGTCAGCCTCCTGCAGCCCTCCCTGTTCCCACATCCCACCCCCACCCCCACCCCCCAGCCTAGGATGGCTTTGAATGCTTTTTGCATTCCATGCACATTTACTGACAGCGACAGTAAACAAAGCAGCCCCAGGTCCAGCCAGAACAGGGTCCTTTGGGGTCAACAGTTGCCAGACACCCAATTCCAGAGCTAAGAAGTCACACAAAAGGGGGAGTGCAACAAAGCAGAGTGGCTCTGAGTCTACACGGAGAGGCCAGATGGTCTCAGGGGAGGTGACCTGATTGGGCCAGTAGACCAAGGAGGACCTGACCGTGAAGAGTTAGGGGTGGTGGAAGCCCTCCTAGGCAGGGGAACAAGGTTTGCAAACGTCCTGAGGCAGAGGGGCTCTGGCCTGAGGTTGCATTTCCCCGTCTAGAGTTTTGTAGCAGGCCCATATGTCACCTGTCCCCAGAATGTGACCCTGCACCATCTTTGACGAAGGCATATGGGCCTCGCAGGAACAGATGATGGCCCAAGAGCCTGTGACAATGTTCCAGTTTACACAGGCATCTTAAGGCTTTGTTTTTGGGTGTTTTGTTTTCCATCTAGCTCATTTCTTCTCAGGATCTGTACCGTGGACAGGTGGTGGGCTGACCTGCAGGCTGGGCTCACATATCCGTTCTTTGAACAAGCCCAGCCTGAGGCCCCTGCCCGCTAGAGGCCGCAATACAAACAGGCAGGACTCAGACTTGAAGGTTAGTGTGCCCGGCAGAAGCCACATCCCTTAGGTCACCCATAAGGAGCTCTGTGGGGGCATCCTGGTCCTTACAAGCCTGTGTCAGAACCTGTGACTGAGGTGTCCCCATGTGCTGGCCTTCTGTGGGCTTACCCTACACCTGTGGCTTCTTCCATTCCCTCCACACTGTCAGGCCCTGGCTCTTTGTCCACGAGCATGTAGGGCTTCAGCCACTTGCAGAAAGAAAAGTGGGAGAAAGCAGGAGAATGGTTTTCTAGGCAGGGGGGATAAGAGGTACAAAGGCCCAGAGGCAGGAGCAAATGTGGGGAATGCTGGCTGTTGGTCATCCGCTACACGAAGGGTCAGAGGCAGGAGGTACTAGAGACCCAAGGGTGAGAAGGGCCCAGTGGGTGGAGAGGGGCTTCAGGGGCTTGGCTCCAGAGCCTGGACTCTGTTCCAGAGAGGCTTTGCTCTTCAGTGGTCACCTCCTCCCTGCTCACAGGTTCCTCCCCACAGATGCCTCCCTCCTGGGGCACCCACCTATCCCAGGTGCCACAGGGTATATGAGAAGGCCTGCCTAGATGCTGACACCAGGGACCCAAAATAGACGAACCAGGTAGCATTAGAGCCAGGCAGACCCAGGGTCATACCCCATCTCCCCCATACTGTATCAGCCTCCCTGTGCCTCAGTTTCCTCTTCTGGGAGTAAGTGACCCCCAGCCCCAGGGCCTTTGTAATGCACCCAGTCTAGGCCCCGGTATGTATTCAGTGAGAGTTGACGATAGCCTTGCCTCCAAAACAGTTGTGGGCCATAAGCCCCCAAGGCAGAGAGGACTTTGCAGAGCTCTGGGGAGTGAGAGGCGCAGTGGGCACAGAGGAGGAGTCTTTCCATCATCAACAATATGATCTCTCCTATAGTAGGAAAGATGGCCTCAGATGACCTTCCACTGTCCCCATTGCTAGAGACACAAGTACAGAGAAGCGATGCTCTCCAGGTTCCTGGGTAAACGGCCCCTACTGATAATACTTGACCTTAGTGTCGCATATGCCAAGGCATGATGGGGCCTGTGGCAAACTGGGGAGTGTGCACCCTGACCGCCTCGAGGATGTAAGTGCCAGCCCAGTGCTCCCAAAGCTGTCAGGGTACCAGGAGGATCCCTGTGACTGCAGCCTTGCTTTGTGAATCTTCCCAGTGGGCTTAGTTTTATTGGTGCTGATCTAAAAAATAGTGTTGGAAGTAATTGCGTGGGTATCTGTGCTCATGGCTGGCAGCAGGGTCCAGTCCACCATGGCCAGCTGGAGGAGGCCCAGAGCAGGTGGGTGCCGATTTCTGCTCAGGAAAGGTTCCTACAGGCTCAGCGTCCCCACAGGAGCTGGGCTGAGGCGTCGGGGTTCTGACCAGGACCTATAAGGCTTGCAGGCACGTGGGAGGAGAGGCCACACCTCATGGCCTTCTCCCCAGTCCCCCTCCACTGCGCCTGCTCCACTCTGCAACCAGGGGCCCCCTGGACTCGGGAGAAGATCTGGCTGCCCCTCCAAGTCCCCTGCTTCCAGCTTCCTTTAAGAGCTCTGGGATTCCTGTGGTAGGGGTGGATGATGCCTTGGGTGGAGGCTCCAGGTCCCATGACCTGGTGTGGTGACTGCAGGCTGAGGTGAGGTATCCTGAAACCCACCCCCACCACCACCACCACCTGAAGGGAGCATCTGTCAGGGCTGTCAGTCAGCTAAGGCCAGCGGAAGGCTGCTGACAGCCAGATCAGACCTCCTTCAGAGGCTTCGAGAATTCTCCTAACAGGCACCACAGCCTTTGGGCCACCCTGGGAGTGGGAGCATCAAAAAGGCCTCCAGCCATGAACAACCTGCCTGTGGATCAAGCCTGTGGTCTTCACAAGGCCTGAGCATCTGCCTGGGGAATTGCTACTTCTCAGCACATCCTCGGGCTGGGGCATGTGGCCAAGCTCAGTGGGCTCGGGTAGAGACTCCTCTCACTGTCACTCTCTCCCACCCTCCAGTGCCACCGCATCCACCGGTCGCTTGCCAGCCAGTTCAAGTACGCACTGGTGTGGGTGAGTCTCTGGGCAGGAGATGGGCGGGGGGCATGCCCAGCATCACCCCTGCACCGGGCAGGAGCAGGGCATTCATGCTGCTCTGCATGGTGTCCCAGCTCACGGGGTGTGCCTGCTGGCCCCCACTGCCTCTCTCACTTTGGGATCCAGGGGTGGCCAGACCACTGGGGACATCCCCCAGGGTGAGGGCAGTTTGCCAGTGCCAGGACCCCCACTTCAGTCTCTGGCATTCTGGGGTGTAGGCACACCTACACCGGCCCACCTTCTTCATGTAGTAGCTATACCAGGCTTGGCCTTGCTCCTTACAGAGGCTGATGTGTCCCCTTTGTTCCTCACCCAGGGCACCAGCACCAAGTACAGCCCGCAGCGGGTGGGCCTGACCCATACCATGGAACATGAGGATGTCATCCAGATTGTCAAGAAGTAGTGCCTCCTGCTGGGCCCCCTGCCTGCCCACCCTGTGTCCCCGGGAGTCGGACCCAGCCGGACACACCAAAGCCCAAACAGGAAATACATACAAATACATACACCCCAGGAAGGGGTCTCTCAAGTCTCTGCTGTTTCTGGAAGTTTCTTCAGTAGGCAGATGATGAAGAATGTATTGGGGCAGAGGGACATGGTTGGGGGACTTTGGCCAGTCTGGTGGCATTTCCCATGAGACTGGCCTCTCAGATGGGGGTTCTGTGTTTAGAACCCTGGGCCTGTGCCCTACCCTGTAGCCAGAGCCTAATGCAGACGGCTTGCTCAGTGCTGGGCTAGGAGCCGAGCCTGTCCGGGGCCCTGGAAGCTGTGGTTTCTGTTGGGACACCTTGTGCCTTCAGTGCCTGCCGGCCTCTCTGGCAGTCAGGGAGGGGCCCTCCTGGGATAGACCCTCTGCCCTGCCCCAGGGCTGCTCCATGGTGGCTGTAAGCCCCAGCTCATGCCCTCCTTAGCCCCAGGAGTCCTGAAGTCCTGCCCTCCCAGGGCAGCCCCTGCCCAACGCAGACCCCAGGACCCAGGGCCCACACGGACACCTGGAGTGGAGGCTTTGGTGTTTGGTTTCTGTACGTTTTTTTGAAGCCCCTGGTCTCGGCTCTCCTTTCAAAATAAAGAGTGAAAACAATTCTTGTTCAGACTGAGGACAGTTGTGTAAGTTTGCTGAACTCTGTTGCCAGGCTGGGTCGGGGCCAGCAGCAAGCCTGGTGATCAGAGAATGGGTGGAGCCTGGGCTGTGGAAAGCAGGCCCAGGTGTGGGGTGCAGAGGAGAATGTGGGGACCTCCAGGTGGTCTCTGCCCTGGAGGGTTGGCCAGGGGCCATGGGCCCCAGATGTGGCACCTCCTGAGGCCGGGCCTGGCTGCCAAGGTGGGCAGAATTCTCGGAAGGCCCTTGTGACTTCTGGGGTGGCAGGGAGGTTCCCCTGTGAGAGCTAGGTAGCCGGGAATACTGTCTGTTTCCTTGGAAGGCAGGGGTGGACGGGCCTTGGCGTGGGGCCGAGGAGTGGCAGCAGGTGTTCGCTGAGCCCCTCCTAGGTGCCAGGGTTGGTGCAGGGCCGCCTCCACAGCAGCTTGTTCTCCAGGGGCAGCAGCTTGCCCTGGGCTTACACAGCTGTAAATGCAGAGCCTGGATTTGAATCCCAGCTGGGGCTTCCGAGTCCCGGGGTGGCTTCCTGGAGGAAGTGTGCCGTATAGGAGTGAATCGTAACAGGTTTTATGGGGCTAGCAGGCACTGGGCTGGAGTAGAGGGCTCCCCTGGGGGTCTTCAGGTCCAGCTGGAGTGTGGAGCAGGCCCACTGCCCAGCTTTCCAGGCTGTTCCTGGCTCCTCTGTCAGCTGCTGAGGCTCCTTTCCTGAGACAAAACAGGAATAATAGACATCATTAAATATACATAGGGCCCCAGGCGGTCGGCGTGGTGGGCTGGGCCTCCCTTCCCTGCAATGCTGAGCCGCTCTGCTGGGCTGGCTATGCTCCTGGGGCCAGCCACAGGACCCCCACTGGGCGGCATGCAGGCAGGGAGCGGGCCACGGGACCCAGGTAAGAAGACCCTGGCCCTGGGCCCTTGGGGTCTGCCATGAGTACCTCTCCCCAGGCTGTAGGGGGGCGAGGAAGGGAGGGGGCAGTGGCGGAGCTGGGCCTTGCGCCTAACTCACAGTGAGGTGCTTCCCTGGGCCTCAGTTTCTTCATCCTTAAATCGGGCATGATGCCCACGTAGTTCCCCTCTTAGTGATGGGCGGATGCTCAGTGGCTTACCTCAGCCCTTCTGCCAGCTGCCACAAGGCCCAGCCATGAGGTCCTAAGTAAGGGTTTATGCCGGGGTGATGGTTACTCCCACTTGCCTTACAGGCAGGGAAGAGCCCCGTGTTCACAGAGCATCAGGTCCAGGCTGATTCTGTCTGGCTGCCAAGCTGGCTGGGAAAGGGTGGGAGACGAGGCCAGAGGTCCTCAGGCAGTATGGGGTCGGGGCAGGCATTGTCAGTCTCCGGGCACTGGGCCACCATGTTCCTCACTATGGATGGACTCTTTCCTGGGCCGGGTGTGTGTGTCCATAGATTGGGGCAATGTGTATCTCTGTGTCGAATGTTTGGTTTCCTGGATGGGCAGCTGGCATGGTTATACTGGGTAGGCCTGCATGAGAGCTGAAGGAACCACATGCCGTGCATACCGGCCAACGTGAACTGGCAGCTTGCCGTGCCTCGTGCTCGAGGAGGTATCCTCGGGGCTTAGAAGCCCCAAGTGCCCCCGGAGGTTCCTTCCCCATCCCACCAGGGCGAGCACCAAGCGTTGGGCCCCACCAGATGGCCAGCCTGTTTCCACCGCTCATCCTCCCTGAGCCTCCTCCTCTGCGGGGAGGCTCATCCCTTTCTGCTCAGATAGTCTGTTTTCACGAGGGTCAGTAATACCCACGCCCTCACTTGCCCTCACTCTGCCCTTCCACAGACCACAGGGCTGAGTTCCCAGAGGGCCCAGCCTGCAGCTTTACAGACTCCGTGCAAAGGAGCCCAGGGCATGAATATTCATCCGCGGCTGTGTCTGTCTCCCTGTCCCTCCTCTTCAGTTTAAATTCTACGCTTCCAAAACCTCCTTTGGCAAGAATCCCTCCTGCCAAAGCTCATCTGCCTTACAGATCCCCTCTGACCTGGCCCCAGGAGCAGCGCTGGGAGGCTCACACCTCTTGTTGGGGAGGGTCTCAGGTGCTCCCTCACCAGCTCTTCCAACCACCTCTGCTCCCTTGGAACCCCAGCTGAGAAATTCATCTGCTCCCAACACAACCTGTTTCTCTGCATGCACCCAATTCTCCATGATTGAGAGGCTGAGTCCAGGCCACTTCCTCAGGGCCTTCACATTGCATGGATGACTCGACCTCCGTTTCTCTAAATCAATTCCTCTTTCTCTCTCTGGTCTGTCCCATTCATTGATTTGCCAACTAATCTGTACTAGTTTGCTCATGCCTCCCTAACAAAGTATTGCAGGCAACAACAGAAATTAATTTCCTTGCTGTTCTGGAGGCTGGAAGTCCGAGATCAAAATGGTGGCAGGGTTGGTTTCTCCGGAGGCCTCTCTCCTCGGCTCGCAGGCTCACAGCACACTCGCACGGCCTTTTGTCTGTGTGCCTCGTCTACTGAAAGAATTATGAGCCCCTGGACATGTCGTTCCCTGTGGCCACCTCCTTTTTGTGGCTTAGCTTCTCCAAGTACCCCTCCCTGTCAACCTCCTCACCCACCAATTCTTACCAACATGCTGCCCAGACACCTCCTGCCCTGGCCTGATGCCCCCCCATTGCTAAACAGTGACATCTTTTATTTTCTCTTTCTTCTTTCTTTCTTTCTTTCTTTCTTTCTTTCTTTCTTTCTTTCTTTCTTTCTTTCTTTCTTTCTTTCTTTCTTCTTTCTTTCTTTTCTTTCTTTCTTCTCTTCTTTCATTTTATTTATTTATTCATGAGAGACACAGAGAGAGGCAGAGACACAGGCAGAGGGAGAAGCAGGCTTCATGCAGGGATCCCAATGTGGGACTCGATCCCAGGACTCCGGGATCATGCCCTGAGCCAAAGGCAGATGCTCAACCACTGAGCCACCCAGGTGTCCCAGCAGTGACCATTTCTAACCACATTTACCTCTAACCACAGCAAGATTGGTTCACAGTGCAGCCTCACACTGTCATCAGGGCTGGGGCCTCCTGCACAGGCTCACCCCCGCCCACTGCCTCTCTCATCTGACCTGTGAATCTAAATTTCCCTGACTCCTCATCTGGACATGCCCCCAGCTGACCCTGTCCTAGAACAAACCTGTTAGATTCCCACCTCACTCGCTCATCTTAGAGAATGATTCCCCACTTCGTGCAGCTTTACCAAGCCAACCCGAGGGTCCCCCAGGCTCCACCTTCACCCCAGCCACCACATAGCCCCCTCACTGAATGTGTCAATTGTACTCTGTGTCACAGCTGTCCCAGACTGAGCCACTGTCCTCTCTGTTCCTGCTTCCACTGGGCATTCCCTCCCCAGCCTTTGCCACATGGCAGCCCAAAAGCTTTTCCAATAAGCAACGTGAGGCAGTGGTTGAAAGTCTGGCACTCTGGAGCCAGACTATCCAAGCTCGAATCCGATTTCAGGCTGTGTGGCCTCGGGCAACTTGCTGCACCTCTCTGGGCCTTCTCCCTACCTATGAAGCAGGAAGAATAATACCTATTTCCCAAGGTTGTAGTGAGGGTTGAATGAATGCTGTGTGGCCTGGTAGTCCTCACTTCCTCGCTGGGGGTTCTCTGCGGAGTGATGGAACCTCTCTAATCCGGAGCCGTTCATCAATAAAATGGGAATAGCAGTTCCCACCTTACATATTGTGCAAATCTAGTGAGATATTAGAGCAAAACATTTAGGACCAAGCCTGGTACAGAGTAAAACTTGCCAGTGTTGCTTATTTTTGTTATTTTTAAAATGCATATGTGGTCATAGCACTCCTGACATAGCCTAAAACCCTCCCAAGCCTTCCCACTACTTTAGCAATAGAGACCAAAGTTCCACCCCAGCTTCCAGGTCTCATGGGGCAGGTCCCTCCTGCCATCCTGGCTACTTCACCTGCTCTGTGTCCCTTTACCCCCTTTTACCACTTGGTCTTTCCACATGCTGTTCCATCTGCCTGGAACACTGTTCCCTCTCTCATTTGATTAGCTCCCTCTCATCCTTCAGATCTTGGCTCAGGGTCACCTAGTCAGGGGCACCTTTCTGGTCTTCCAATCCACTGTTTGCCCACTCGGGTTGTGGCCTGGCCTTCAGAGCTCTTCTCGTGGCTAGCAGTTTTCCCTTTGGTGTGGCTCACTGCTTAAAGCTCATGTCCCGGTGACATTGGGAGTTCCATGAGCACAGAGACTGTGGCTGGGTCCACTCACTTATGTGAGCCCCTAGCACCCAACACAGTGGCTTGCACAGAGTAGATACACAGCCAATATTGAGGAGTGAATGGATGGATCCCTGAGAGCCCCTGTGCCTGCTGCAGAGGCTGGGGACACTGAGAGGGAGAGGGGACCCAAACCCATAGGAGAAAAGATAGCCCTGGTTGACGGGGGGAAGCCTGGGCACCTGAGACCAGAAAGGGCCATGGAGCAGGCCCTGCTGCCAGCAGCCACCCAGACCACCTGCCCAGAGCAGACAGGACCAGCCGTCTGTAACAACGATGCCATGATAACGGCAGTTTATTCCTGGCTAGGCGCTGTGCCAGGCCCTTGCAGTAACTGCTTCCATGAGCCCTGCAAGTCGGAGATGCTATTAGCACTCATGCTGACAGGTAAGGAGTCCTAGGGGCAGAGGCTGCACAACTCACAGTGGTCAGATCCAGGACAGGACAGGAATGGGACCAACCCAGAGCTCTGAGCCACCCCGCTTCACATCTGCTGGGCTCCTCTGGGCACCGTGAGCCCTCCTGCAATAGGCTTCACCTATCTGAATGCCAATCTCTTCCTCAGAACCAAGGACCCTCCACTTAGGGCAGATAAAGGATATGGCTCTGGGACATGTCCCTGAGCCCCCGAACCCACCCTGCCCACTCTCCCTGGCCTCAGTTTCCTCAAAAGTCACATGGAGCTGGGAGATGGGGATTGGATTTTGTGGTCTCAGACTGACATCATTCCTCCTCTAAAGGGGTATTTCCACTCA